TTCTCTTTCTTATTTCTGTATTATTTCCTTTTTGTACTCCCAGCTAACAACTAAAAGGTTAAAATCAACAAAGACAGGGAAGTAAAAAAGAATTACAAGTGGAAATGGCTTAGTCTGATAAAAACTGCCTTTGTTGTATCATATATATAATAGCCTTACATGACCTTTACTCCTATCCAATTATTCTCTGTCACTTTAGAACACAAGCATATGGTTAGTGTCTTTTGAAGGAATAATGTTGACAGTTTAAATAACATTATACCTCATGTAGTCCAAGATGCACCTCATTTTTTTTGTATCAAGTGCTCCTTTTTTTTTTAACCTGTGTTTTCTTATAGTAAGTGTCACATTTCCCCAAGTTTTTGTTTAATCTTAAGCACTGGTTCCTTGGAAAACAAGCTGCTTATTCAACTGAGCCTTTAGCTGCATTTTATAGTGGCATGGCATTTTACCACATCCTCTCTTCTCATTGGGCTTTCATTATTGTAATCACTATCTCCACAAACTTTGCCTTGTCTACCCCTGACATGGAGGATTCAATATGGCATGATCTTTTTGCTATAAATGCCCGATGATATGAAATTAAAATTTCAGTTTATTGTCTAAACAGCCTGTCTTCTCTAAAAGATACTCCATCTTTACTATCTTCTATTTTCTGCTCCCCTTGAGGCAGGAAATCATTCCTAGATGGAATCATGTTCTCTGTTAATTCTGTCTCATCTGTAAATCTAAAAAATGATCTTTTTATCTAGGACCTTGGAGCTCTCAGCTTTGCTTCAGGGCCCCAAAATTTCCATTCTCCTGCTCTTTGGTTTGCTATGAGTATAACTAGTCTTAAGCAACATCAGACATACCTTGTCACTGACTGTCAGGTTTTCATTTTTTATGCTAGCTTTGACTCAAATCAAAGCACACTTGGTTCAAGTACAGGGGAGAAGTCAGCAATATCTGTCCTCTGCAACCTAGAATCTGTTGAATCCTCATTATCCTTAGATCTGAGATCATAGTTGATTTTGTTGGGTGACTTATTCCTGAAGTTTTTCTCAGATTTCTTTATTTCTCTCTGTAAATATTTTCATATATTAATAAAGGTACATGTTCTTAGGGACCAAGAGTCCAGACACCTAGATCATATCCTCAGTGGTATCCACTAAGTTGACTTAGGCAAACCACTCAATGCTTCTGTTTCATTTCTGGTAATCTGTATCGGTGCCTGCCCAACCTCATCATGGGTGGGGAAGAAAAATCTGTTGGAGATTTCTCAAAGGAAAGAGGGTGTAGGAAATATAAACAATTAGTCTTTTTTTTTTTAAGGCAGTTGGGATTAAGTGACTTTCCCAGGGTCACACAGCCAGTAAGTGTCAAGTGTTTGGTCTGAGGCCGGATTTGAACTCAGATTCTCATGACTTCAGGGCCGGTGCTCTATCCACTGCTCCACCTAGCTGCCCCAATAATTAGTCTTTAAAACTGGAATCAAAGAGAAGGAAAAGAGAGAATTCCATGCTTTCTGTGAGATACTTCACCCCAAATCCTACATAACTGAAGTTCTGGGCTGAGGAGTTTCTTTACTCTGTAGAATTATATATCTGGTCTCAGTGAAGGAAAGAAAGTAATGAGAGAGACTCTCTCTGTTCTGCAGATTTGGGCTACAATCTTGGTTAGATTCATTGCATTGTCCTTTTGGTTATTAGCGGGGAAAATGGCATCATTGAGGGAAACCTCTTTTCATGGAAGATTATTAATTCATTCACACTTCCATTGGAAGTACATTAACCTGGCCAAAACATGTTAGAATAACATTAATTTTGAATCATCAGTGTACAGATTTCAGGCCATTTGTGTGCATGTGTATATGATTTTCCAACTGAACATAATTCTTGATCTTCCTTTCTTACAATGTTGAAGTACAAAACTATGTTTACTTATGGATTTTATTAGTGGTCCCAAGCTTTAATGCCACATTGGCCATAGCACTTGCTTACCTTTTCCCAAAGTAGTGTCATCTTCATAGGATGCTTCATAATCTGAACTATGCCAGTCTTGGAGCAAAAATGTAGCCCAAATTTGCCATGCTAAAATCTAAGCATGCCCTTAGAAAATAATAGCATCCAAGACAACATTGACAAAAATACTCTTATCCTATTCAATAAATTTGTGTTTAAAAACTCCTTTGTCTTTTTTTAGCTAATAGAGGGATGGCCTATCTCTAACAAGCATAACAAGTGTTCAGTATCTTTTTCATCATCTGACTATAGATAACTTAAAATAGGAAAGCCTTCAACCATCCATAGATAAGGATGCTTCAATTATTTCCCCTAGTACTGACCATGTCTGCTTGCTGTTCTGGGTCTTCCTATTATAGGATAAGGGGAAAGAGCATATACATTTTTTTAAGTTACTCACACTCTTTCACATAATAACACTCTGTCCTGCTTCATTTTCCTTTACCATCTCTTTTCTTCAATTTCTTTTTCTCGCTTTTATCTGCATTAAAACTTGAAAGAAAATAGAACTGGACTGGATTACCACCTGTGATTGTCTGCTTGCTTCTTGGTGGGTGGAATTCTTATAAACCTTGCTGTTCTGAATCCTTCTCTTATAATATGAGGGAAGAGGAAAACTGGGAGAAACCGTTTTGTTTCGTTTTGTTTTGTTTTTCCAGCAAGTAATTTTTACTTTTTTCCATAAGTGATGCTGTTATTGCCAGATTTTAGTCTTAAGTGCAGGACGTGTTCTGACTGAGGTTATTCAGTAAAATGGAAGCAGAGCGTTAAAGGGGAGGAGGAATATTTTGCCAGTGGTAGTTGGTAGTAGTATCTGATGAGGCTCCCCAAATGGTCAGTATGTGTTCCAAATTGTTAGTCATAGGATAGGGTTCTAAGATATGGGGCTGTCCCATGTAAATCAGACATCTGTCAACTCTTTCTGCCCAATGTAATCGTGAATTTTTGAGTGATCCCTTCCAAACAAATAGTTGAATATTAAACTATTTGTCAACAAAATAAATGGCTAGTCATCTCTATTCTCAGCCCTTTTTGCTTTACTCATATCTTTAAATGGCTTTAGTTGGTCATATGGGGAGGAGAGCCTATCCCCAGAATTTATTGGCATCCTCTTCTAGGATGAGTCCTAACAGAAACAGCCAGGCGTGGTCTGCAGTTGTGGGTAAAACAGAATAAAAGCACGAGAAGTTTACTCTCTAGCTCCTTTCAGCCCTTCTGGACATTTATTTGTTTCTCTGTTATGATTCACCTTCCCACAGGGCCTTGAAATGCCTTCCTTATTTCTAGTCAAAAGCCACACAGTTACATTTCTTACTTCCCATCATTTCCACTCACCAAAAAGGGAATGTGAAGTGAATAAGTATTTATGTAGAGCCTACTATGTACCAGGTACTGTGTAAGTGCTTTACAAATATTATCTCTTGATCCTCTTAACAACCCTGTGAAATAGATGTTATTATTATCCCTATTTTACAGTTGAGAATACTGAGGCAAACAAATTAAGTGACTTTCCCAGGGTCACACAGCTAGGCAGTGTCTGAGACCAGATTTGAATTTGTCTTTCTGACTCCTGGCCCAACGCTCTATCTACTGGATGCCCCCCAGAAGACATATCTGATAGAGATTCCTTTCAGATCCTTCTTAATTAAACCTTTCCTTTTTGTATCCTGGGAATTATAAGTTCCCAGAGCAGGACATAGCAGAAGACTAGTAATTTCATCAATGGGAATGTTCCCTCTCCCAAAACAAATTATAACTCCTTCATACTGTAGTTGATTGTCTTCACAAGTTTCTGTGACTGAAAAAAAATCCACCTGATGGCCAGCCTACTGGTGACAAAAAAAAAGAGACTATTACTGTATTCTATAGCTAGAGGAAGAAGAAGTGAAATGAATGGGAATGTGTGGAATAAAATACAGAAAAAAGGATGTATCATTTCAGGTATTCTACAAAGCTGGAATTATTATGTTCAGGTGTTATGTGAGAGAGAACCACTTCAGTCTTACACTAACAGAGACATCAAAAGGCTTTTAGCACATAGCCTTAGACATTCCTAGTTAATTCACTTCAGTTTAGCAGTTACCTTTTAAGATCCTACATTCTACAAAACATTGTGCTCTGGGAGTTAAGATGAGGAGGATACAAAGATAATTAAGACATATTCTATGCTCTCTGGATTTCTGATGTTGGGAGGGAAGATGCAGATACAAGAGGCACACCATTATCCTATATCTTTATAATAACATGCAGAATAACATATGATTGTATTGTAAGGGTAATGAACTTTCATGCAAAGTTGATGAAAGGGAAAAAACATAGGGTCTCTGCCCTATCATCCCCTATCTCATGTTAGGGACACCCATATGTATCCTCTTTGAGGATCAGAAAAATTTCCAGACCCTCAAAGAAGACATCCCTAATGTAGCTGTGGGACAAGGAAATACCTTATCTACCAGTAAGTAGAGAAGTCTGAGAAGCCTGGTAAAGATTACTGAATACAACATCTATCATCTCTCAGGGGATACTAGACCTTCAGAGAAAATATTTTACTGATAAGGAGGTGACAGGGTTTCTTCCCCATCTCATCCTTGTGAAATGAAGCCACACTGGGCCAATGTAAATGATTCCTACAGAAATAGAACATATTAATAATGATTAAGTACTTAATACGTTTTTGTGGTAGTGACTAAAAATATCACATAGGTTTCACCTGTAAAGCTCATTGCTGTACTAAAATTATTACTTTAAAAGCTACTTATCAAGTTACAGAAAACAATAAGGCTTTGAGGCAAATTTTGTCTTAACAGTACTATGATACATTATATTTTTCTTTTACATTGTAATTATATAAAATGTGTAGAACTGGTGATTTAAAAACATTTATTTTGGTTTCTATGTAGGCAGAGCATCATGAAGTATCAAAATTGTTTTAAAAGTTTAATTGTTCAGATAAATTAAAGCCTGCATCCACACCAATAACTGTTCTTTCCCCCCTAGACATTATGTATATTGGCCAATATAGCAGATGGAACAACAGCAAAAGAACTCATTATGTCCAATGATGACATTTTGCAGAAAATTAAGTATTACATGGTATGTATGGCCTTTTTCTTTCCTTAAGGGAAGGTTTTTTCTTATTGTTCATAGATTTAGGAGGCAGGATAGCTATGTTAGTATCGCTATTTCAAAACACAGATTGTGCAAAGATATTGAAACATAGTTCATTTTAATAATCTAATTAAAGTATAGCATATTTATATATTATTTAGATAAAATATTTAAAAATTTAGAACTTGTACATAAGTAGGCACTCGAGAACTATTTGCTAAGTGAAGGTATGAAGAATTTGACTTTTTTCTTTTACTAGAAGTCAAATAGAAAATCTCTCCAAATGAAGAGTGATTGAATTTTTGGATAAGGCCAATATGAAAATTTGTTTTACCTAATTATCCATATTTATTACAAGGATTTTGGGGTTTTTTCTTCTTTTTTTTTTTACAGGGGAGCAGAGGTGGATGGAAAGAAAATAAATGTTTGTTAATTGAAAAATAAAATTTAATCAAAAAAAATTTAGGAACTAAGTAGTTGGAAGGAGATTTAATTAGAACCATAAAATTCTGAAACTGTTCATTTAATTAATCCTTTTCCTTGGCTATATCACAGTTACATTGCAAACTTAACCTTAAGAGGGGTCTGGTTTCTTCCTAAAAGAAATATTGAGAATTCTGCTTTAAAATATTATGTGTGTGTGTGTGTGTGTGTGTGTGAGAGACCCTTTTTATATAGTAGAAAGAATGTGAAAAGCACAATTCAAACAGAAATAGTTGAAATATAGCTCTAATAAAAGTCATAGAAATAATAGCTTGTGTTCATATGCCACTTTACAGTTTAAAAAGAAAAAACCTTTTATACTCATTATTTCATTGGAGCCTCACTACAATTTTGTGTAGGGGGGTGGGGCAAGTACTTTTTAATCATCGTTTTACAGATAAGGAAATTGATGTTTCAAAAGGTTAAGTAGACTCAAATCCCAGTCATTTGACCCCAAATTCAAGGTTGTAGTAGGTGATTTAAATAGAAGTGTTCCAAAATAATGCATTCAGTAATTGCCTGGGTTTAATGTCGTTTGTAGTAGAGAATTTTTTAAAAATTTGTTCTTTGTAGTTGATTTTTTCTTGCCTAGATTTAAGATTTTGAGAGGTAGTTATATAAATAACTTGCCATGTTCTTTGGTATCTTTCCAAATGAATAGTAGTAGTTTGACCTTCCCAGTGATCCAAATTTGAGGTGGTAAAGCCTCATTTTCAGTAAGATGTGTAGTCCAAATGAGCCCCTTATAAAGTACCTTATTTTGGGGCAGGTAGGTGGCACAGTGGGTAGACCTCCAGCCTTGGAGTCAGGAGGACCTGAATTTAAATCCGGCCTCAGTCACATGACACTAGCTGGGTGACCCTGAGCAAGTCATTTAACTCCAATTGCCTCACCAAAAAGCAAGGGGGAAAAAAATACCTTGTTTTAAAACATTTTCTGTTTATGAAGTACAGACATGCAATGCTCTCCATCCCTACCACCTCTGAATTAAGAAAAAAAAAAGGCTGAGCAAATTGAATGAAATAAGTATTTGGAAAAGATAAATAACAAAATTAATGATATCTAAATTTATGTTAGAGGATTAAATGTTGTATAATGAATAATTCATAAGTAACATAAATTTCCATAAAATTACAATAATGACTCCAAATAATTTCCATTATGACTCTGATTAGGTATAGCCTACAGTTTACACAGAGCAAGTATATCTATTAGTTGGTGGTAACGAGAAAAGTTTTCTAATAATAAGGTACCAGCATAGCATTCCTATAATGATGCCTCTGTGCTGATTACTCTAAATACTCATAACTTGGTGGATTTCTTAGGACTTTATTACTTGAAATGCAATTTTACATAAAATTACCTCTGTTTTTGATGCAATTTCATATAAAGTTACATCTGTTTTTGACAGAATTTCCTTTTCTTTGTCATTTAGGGTCATTCACATGTTAAACTACAGCTTGCTGCCATGTTTTGTATATCAAATCTTGTATGGAATGAAGAAGAAGGTAAGAGAGATTTGTGAGATCTGTCTTGAAGAAGGAAAATATGAAGCAAAAAGCTTTCTGTGAGGTTATTTTATCTGGAAAACACCACATATTCAAGATCCTTTCTAGAAGCAGGCACAAGAAGTCATTTTCTTTTCTGATTCATTTTCTCGCTTTGGACCCTGCTCCAGTCTCCCCAGAAAAACACTGACATCCTTTTATACTATGATATAAAAATTGATCTAGTGCCCATGCAGTTAGATAATTACTGGGCAGCCAGTTTGCTCAGAGCAAAGCTACATGCTTTGAGGGTATCATAAAGAAATAAGAGATTTGGTCCTGCACTCAAAACAAACACTTGAAAACAATGTGAGAAAACTTTAACAATAATATATAACCTGAATACACAACTACTCCAGACACTGAATAAGGATATGATTAGAGGTGAGAAGATTAATAAAAAGAGAGTGATTTTGAAGATAAGTTTTGAAGTGGATGAAGTCATAGATTAGCAAAGAGCAGGACAGTGAACATTCTAATTCTAAAGAATGTTGTGGGCCAGGGCATAAATAAGCAGATTATATGTAGATTTTTAAAAAATTAGTGACCTTGACAGAACAAAGGAAATGGATTGCAAAGTGATGAAAAATGGAGTTGGTAAAATGGAAGGAGCCAGTTAGTGAAGAAATCTGAAGATAAGGTTGAATGATCTGGACTTAATATATAGGCAAGAGGGAGTCACTATAGATTCTTGAGGAGGGTATGTTATTTGAAGAAGGTTAATTTACCCACTATATACATTAACATAAGCATAAGGTAGATTTCAGAGGTACTACATACCGGGTAACTGAGAAATACATCTGTTTTCACTTAGCTCACATATCTACTAACTTCTTATTATTCTGTCTCTCCTTTTGTCTCACTCATCCTAGACCTATTCTTTGTCCTCACTGCAATCTCCAGTCCTTCTATTGCTCAGAATTCTCCCAGGCCATCATCTCTGCTCTGGCTTCACTTTTCTCCTTTCCCACTCTCAACCCTATAGTTCACTATCTCAATAACACCCTGTCTTTTCTTCTCAATGCCTTGCCTCCTTGGCCTGTTACCACCCAACCCAACCCTAGCTATGTGTCACTCTATCCACCTCCCTCTGCTTCTCCTCAGGTACTGTTGGATAGAAAGTAGAGGAAGTCATGAAACTGTTGTGACAAGTCTGTTACAGATTTATGTTATACAGTCTCAGCTGGGTCCTTATCAAAGCAATACAATCCTTGTATTCTTCCCTGCTTGATTCTCTGTCTCACCTCCCATGGTAGCTGCTCTCAATCTTTCCTACACCACCCTCTCTACTTTCTTAGTTGAGGACTTTGCCTCATACTTTACTGAGAAAATAAGGGCATTTGCCCTGAGCTCCCTCTTCTCTATGGTTCTGATGTCAAAATCCCTTGACATCACTCCTCTCCCCCATTCTTACCACCTTTATTGCAGGTTATAACATTATTATTTGATGAAGAGGAGGCCTTTTGACCAAAGCCAATTTCTCTGTTATGGATTATCATCCGTATCATATACTTACTTGCGAGTGTACTCCAAGGCACTGTCCTTCCTGGCTTCCTCTTCTTTCCTCTCTATATTCTCTCTTGGTGACCTCATCAACTCCCATGGGTTTAATATAATGTTTAGGGAAGATGTTATGAGAGATCATTGATTTTTCACCTTTTTTTTAATCTTCTTTGAAGAAGTTAATGAATGCTTTTTTTTTAACTTTTGGGATAGACCTATGATATCATCAGTGTAGGGAAATCCTGGTAAAGAAACTTTTTGCCCTGATGTCATATGAGCAATTCTGTAATTTCAGAGTCTGACAAAGTTGTTTTGGGGCCTGGGCAGTTAGATTGACTTGTTTGAAAATACATGAGCATGTGTCCAAAGTAGGACTTGAATTCAGCTCTTCCTGACTCCAAGGCTAGCCACCTTTCTACTACATAATGCTCTCAGTAATATCTAAGGTCTTATTTTCCAGGTTCACAAGAACGGCAAGATAAATTACGAGATATTGGCATTGTAGATATTCTACACAAACTCAGCCAATCACCAGATACAAACCTATGTGATAAGTAAGTACCTATGATGCTTAATATGAAGGTTTTTAATTGTATAATAATCTACTATGACATTCTTTGTATGCAGCTTGTCATCAGTCATTTCCTGCAGTCTTATTTACACCCACTGTGTATCTCTGTTGCCTTCTGGATGACCCGCAATTTTGATTTTCAGAGATTATGGTATTCCATGGTCTGTAGCCATCTAGCATCACCAAGAGATGATGTGGGGGATTATTGTTTGAGTGCTAAAGCAATAATTTAGCACAAAATAATACCGGATAGCTTTGATAAAATTTGAAATTGTTTTGTCTCATATTACCTTGAATACCCATGTGAATTGTTTGATGTATAGTTTTTGGTATGTAGGTAAGTCAAATTGTCAGGAAAAAATAATGTGACTTTTATCCTAACTATAATGTGCCAGTGAAACCAGTTTTCAATTTTTGTTTTGGTTTTTTTAAAATTTCTTCAACTTAGTTTTCCCTGTCCTGAATCAGGCTATAAGGAAGAACCAGGTATAGCACAAATGGACATTCAAAAGTTCTCTTCCGGGATTACAATTTTCTTACAATATTATTTTTCTGGGAAGATGTGGTGTTCTGAGCTCCCTTTTATGTACATTTTACTTTGCCACTGTGTAAAATTCCCCTAAATCCAGCAGTTCTGCTTGATTAATAGTACTTGCTAACACCTCCTTAAAGCAATGCCTACTATCTATCTTTCCACATTTTGGAATATGAGATTATAATTTAGCTAATTTTTTTAAATGAAAAATTTCACAGATACTCACTAATTCATGGTTTGTGATTTCAGAGCAAAGACAGCACTGCAGCAGTACCTTGCGTGATGGGAGACCCAGCGAGTCTTCAGGCCCCTCTCCCCTCCCGTTTGTTTAAGGAGTAACAGGAAATAGCCTCATTGGGTTCCTTATATTTGCACAAGTCACCTTGGACTGAGTTTCTCTCACGTGCAGGGAGCTGTTTTGCAAAAGCAATTTAGTAGAATAGATCTCAGATACATCTTGAGAACCTTCTTCAAGGTAGTAACTTACTCAGAGGACTATTGTGTTTATTTTTTCCTGAGCTACCTGGACTCTATTAGAACAATCAATTGTCATTTTCCTTTGGACCTACAATTTTTTGCCTATGCTGCAGCCACTTTGTGTGTGAATGTGTGTGTGTGTGTGTGTGTGTGTGTGTGTGTAAATGTGTGTTTGCGTGTGTATGAATGTATGAGGGAATACCTCAGAATTTTGTTTTCTTATTTTATGTGTGAAAATCTCTTTTCTACAGATTTTCCAGGGTTTAAGCATTGCTTGCTGTATGAAAACTTTACTGAATTATATACAGTTTGAATGATATGTTATTTTAAAAACAAAAATTTGTTAAGTGTTCCATAAAGGTTATGTTGAATTTTGGTCAGATGAATATTTGTAAGTAAAAATATATGCATTTCTGAACCTCAAACTTAACTTACATATATTTCCTTTTAAGAAAGAGAGAGAGAGAAAGAAAGAAAGAGGTTGAGAGAGAAAGAAAGAAAGAAAATATGGCTCTAGATGACCTGAATCACAGGCAATATTAATGGTGCTAGCTAGCATCTTACTGCCGCACAATATTAGCAGGTACTAGGGGCTCTTTCAGCCCAATTAAGTTCTCAGGCTTCCTAAGTAAAGGGATGGGGTAACTCTCCTTAAGGTTTTGAAAATATCCAAGGGGAAATGTCATGGTACTACTGATAGTGATGCTTCTGTGGCAAAGCACTGTGAGAGAAGAACCAGTGGGTTCAGTGCCAGCACTCACTAGGGAACTTGCCAGTCACATTTGAAGATCCAGATCTCCTGCACTTATGTGTACAAGTCTTAGGATCGGCATGGTAAGTGACAGCTGTTGGACAGTGATTAGGCAAGACCGTTTCAGACCAGGTCATTTCTTAGAAATGCTGTCAGAATCAAAAGGAAGGAATCTGGCAAGTCTGAGTTTGAAGATTCATTGCATCCTAATATTTGCACTTCCTACAGAATATATCACTGTGAAATGAATTTGTTTTCTCCAAAGTTAAGCTATTTCAGGAGGCTCAAGGTAAAGAGTTAAACAGTTTAAAAAGAAGTCTTTCTCAAGAGCATTGCTAAGCATAATTAGCATTTTGTAGCCAGGAATTGAAACATAATGTGCTTTTATGAAAGAGATCAGGGCTTTAGTAACTGGTGCAATCAGGCACCTTTATGAATAACGATGGAGAACTTAATGTCCAGAGAAGGAAGAGAAAATATCTTCATGATGACTGAAGATGATGTATTCTCTCTGCACAATATATGTATCTTGTCTTTTTAATAGCTTTTAGCTTAAAATGTTCTCCAAGCTGTGGCTTAACTTGTCCCCAGATGTTTACATAAAACATAATGCAAGTTACAATGGACTATTAGAGGGAGAAATCTAGCTCTTATTTTCCTTCAAATAAAAGATCTCTTGAAGAAGGAAACCAGGTTTGCAAACCTGGATGAGTCTACAATTTGAGTCAAAGAAAAAAATCTGGGATTTCACTACCCAATTCTGTCAAATATTACTAGGATATAAACTACTCTGTTACTATCCAGCACTTTCCTTTATAGAGTTAATCTGTTTGGTTAAAATAGAGCATTTTCCAAAAAGTGCATTTAACCTCATTTTTTTCCCTACTCTGAATGTGGCCACCTAGAGATCCCCTGATTTAAATGCAGAGATAATGAATGTTTATTCCTTCAGGACATCAATGAAAAAAAGTCTTTTAAAATAAACATCTGGATTTTGCAGAGAGATCAAAATGCAAATATGGGAAAACCTGGGGGTATTTTTTTAAAATCTAGTTTCTTGGAAATAAAGCCTTATTTTAAAACACATTCAACTGATGACAGTTTTTCTGGCACTAAAAACATCCTTAATTCAAACTTTTAATGTGAAACAGTCCAAAGTTAGTATCCAATTAAAACAGACCAACAATAAAATGCTAAGACAATCTAGACATCACATGGAAAGAAAAAAAAGTATTTTTCCAGAATAACATCAGTAGACTAAAAGTCCACTAAATAGCATTTTCAATCTCAAACTATGTGAACTGATATTGCCTATGGATGTATACAAATAGGAAAATTAAAAGTGCTTTACCATAAACTAGCTCTTCTGAATTTCATGAAAAAAATGTATTTATTATGATAGTACTGGTTTCTGCATTACACGAAATTTTTAGTCTGCAAGACACTGGCAACAGTGGAAAATGGTCTTGTGTATATAGCCCAAGTTCTTAACTAAGCTTCTCAACAATCTTTAATACTGCTTTCTGTTTCTCCTTTTTTCTGTAATCCAGGATTTATGAACTAGAAAAGAATGTCCAATTTAATAAGTTGCATTTATTTCCTGAAGCACTTTATTGAGAACGATAAATGTTCGGTAGTATTTGGATAAAATTATGACTTTTAACACATTCTAATAAAGCCAAGCAAAATCACAGCAATTTCTAAAACTTACTCTATGTTTTCCAAATGTCCAGTGCATTAGAGGACTTTTGAAAAAGGTATCCTCTGGCATTTGAAATGCATCTCTGCATGACTCAAAGGGCTGAAAGGTGACTGAGTTTCAAGGGCTCTGCCTTAGACAAGTCTGAGCCTGATCACAGTAATCCAGGTTATGTGCTTCTCATTGAAGTGAATGGATCTGATGATGTCCTAGGCAACTTTACATCTCAGTCACTTCCTCTATGGCTGCTTCAGGCTGTTGCCACCTTCCTCAGGCAAGCACACTCTTCTTTGTTCTTTGGCTTTGATTTTAGCTGCTGTCAACTACCATCTGCCTTAATATTTCAGTCATCATTTTTAGTTCTCCTTAATTTCCCTTCTTTCTCATGAGTCCCATATTCCCACTGCTTCTGTTTACCCTATTTCTGTTTCACAGGCAGAAGGATGCAGGTAAACCTGCCATGTAAGATACACAAAGAGCTTCCTATTCATTGCAAAAGTAGACAAGCCTAATAATGGAAAGAGCCCTGATTTGGGAAGAAGGAAACCTTGGTTCCAGTCTTACCCCCATTTCACAGGAAACCTGATGAGTAAAACTAAATTAAGGTGACTTATGTAATGGCCAGCAAGAGCGAGGAGGAGGGGATACCAGCATAGTGTCACCATCGAATAACTGACAGAGGGAAAGGAATTTGGGGTGTGAACTGAAGCTCTGGAGTAAGCCAGGGACAATGTCGTTAGCCGGCTAATAAGCATTTATTAAGCACCTACTATATGCCAGGAACTAAAGTAGTGTTGGCTTAGTCCAATGTTGACAGGATATATTAGCAAGGAGAAAGCCTGAAGGAGATACAGAGCATAACGCTTTTTTCCAGGTGATTTTCTAGTCCCTGGGCAAAGGAAAGGGCAGACTGGTGGGGAAGTTTGCTAAAGAATTCAGGCCTGATAAAAAGGAAACAAGAGAAAATAGAAAAGGGAAAGGGAAAAAGCATTCACAGCACTAGCAGTTACTCCAAAGATAGAATGGTATCATCATTGATAAATTGTGCCATAGATGCAGGAATTATTTTTTGTTACATTGAGTTCTAAAAAAGTATTTTTTTTTTACCCAGTGAGTCTCCATAGGATCTTACTGAAGAGGAGAGCACATGATCCTGCCTCCTTCCTCCATGTGCACATACTCATACACACACACACACACACACACACACACACACACATAAACCTAGTTTCTCCAAGTCCTCAGTTAAGGTGGATTCTAAGGCATGCCCGCTTGGAACCAAGGGAGGTGCTGAATGGGGACTTCTGGAACTTTGAGCTCTCTGCAGAGAGGGCACTATATCAGGCAAGGCCTCTTACCGTCCTCTAAGCAATGTCACCCTCTGCTGTCCCTGTTGATTGGCAATTTAAACCACTTTCTGCCTTCTTAGGATGCCTCTAGAATCCTTTCATTAAAGGGATTTGTTCTCTAAAGTTTGGATTCAGTCAAAGGGCTGCACTGGAGGACCTAGAGGGTCACGTGTGGCCTTGAGGCCACAGGTTCCCCACCCCTGCATCTAGATTATCTGGTGGCTACATTTATTCTTTCTTCCAGGAGAAGATAAAACCTCCATCATGGCAGGTAAAAGCTATTCGCTAGTTCCCCTCACCCATGGCATGGCACCCTGGACTTCGGTTTTAAAGTACTCTCCAGTTAGTTCAAAGATGAAGGCCCGATTTCCTTTGCCTGAAAGGGTGAAGTCCATTCTTTTTCCCATGTTTACATGCCCAAGGGTTGAAAACGGGATTTCAAACAGGCTAGCAAGAAAAAAATAAGATAGCAAGATAGAAAGGTGATGGGATTTGGAATCAGGAGACATGAGATCAAATCCTAGCACTGCCAATTAACTTCTGGGCCTCAGTTTCCTCACTTATAAAATGAGGGGAACTAAAAATAATAAAGTGTGGGAGTTACACCAATCGGTTATTTAAGTATTTGCACATCATCTGTGTAACAGTTTCTGTGCTAGGCACTAGGGTTGTACAAAGAATAAAATAACCTACTCACAAGGAGCTTACATTATAATGGGGGAGACAAGAAAGACAAAAATATACATACAGCACAAATAGAAAGTTAATAAATATATACAAAATAATTAAATACAAGTTAATGTGGGCAGAAGGGCCCTAGAAGTTGGGGAGATTAAGAAAGGTTTCATGCAGAAGATAGTGCTTGTGCTATATCTTGAAGAAAAACTAAGGCAAAAGTAGAAGGGAATGCATTTTAGGTATGTGGCACAGCCAGTGCAAAAGCAGAGATGGGAGGAATAGAAGTTCAGTTTGGCTGGATCTCAGAGTGCAAGCGAGTAATATCTTTCCCTGTCCTGCCGCTCTGACCTGATGGCCGACCTCAGGTGAGGAGAGGAGTGATTTTCCATTTCCTGTTGTGTCTGTTCCCCGAGGGAAGGTGGTGAAGGACCCTGGGCAACGTCCACCTCCTCTGCCCCCACCAACCTGACCTGTCTCTGGCCATCAGTGAGGATACCCTCTGGGGAGAAGAGGGGCAATCTTTCCTCTGACCAGGGGACTTTCTCCTGCTGCACCTGTCCCAAGGAAAGAGAAAAATTGGAGAGGGATTTCATCCCCTGCTTTTCTTGTCTCATGTCTGACCTCCAACCCCCTCTGGGGAAGAAAGTGGCACCTTCCACTCTAACATATTCATACCTGGTCATACCCTACACATCCCAGTGATTCTGAACCCCTGTAGGTTATTATCCAAACCCCATCCCTTACCCCCTGCCACCCAATTCCTGTTTCTCATCCCCCTCAATCCTCTTTCCCCACCCCAGAAGTCCCAACAAAGTACTACCCACTGTGCCCTCTGCTCCATAGGCAATAAATGCCTTCATCCTAAATCTCTCTCTCTCCCACTCCGTTCATCTTATCATCAATGAGGTCTGATTCCCTCCTGATGACCCAGCATCCCTGTCCACCCTTTCAACATTACTACCTTCACTCATTCTCCTCAGCTCACTGGTCAAGGCAGGGGAATTAGGGTATTCTTTGCTCCTAATTATCACTTCCAGATTTTCCCCAGACCTCTATCACTTAGTAACATCTCCTTTGAGATTCATGCAGTCAATATCTACCGCCCAATCAAAATCCTGTTCATTGTAGTCTCTACACCTCTCTTTCCTCCAAGAGTTAAGTACTTGGCTCACAACTTTTCTCTCCTCAATTCTTGCCCTTATACTAGGGGGACTTCATACTTACTGACTCTACCTCAACACCATAACTATTTAGTTTTTCAATCTATTTATTTCCCATGACCAACTCCTCCACCCCACCTCAGTCACATTCAAGATGGTCATATCCTTGATCTTACCTTCACTCACAAATGCACCACCTCCTTGTTCAAGAATTCCAGAATCCCCTTATCTGACTATAATCTTTTGGCTTTTCATCTACCCTCTGCCTTCCCTTATCATACCCTTCTCTTTTGTCTATACCATGACCTCCAATTCCTCAACTTTTCAGTTCTCTCCCAGGCCATCTCCACTGCACTAGCTACTTTCCTCTTTTCACCATCCTGACCCTTTGATGAACCAGTTTAACACAACACTGTCTGATTCTCTTGGGTTTCTGGCTCCTTTATCATATCACCAGTTACTCCCTGCTAAGCCACAACCTTGGATCACTTTCACCATCTACCACCTTTGCTCCTACACATGGCTGCAGAATGAAGGAGGGAAATTATGTAACTCTTCTGATTAGGACTACTACAAATTTATGTTACAAGCCTCAACTGGGCCCTCGTTGCTGCTAAGCAATCCTTCTATGCCTCACTTAACTTACTATCCCACTTTCCACGGCAACTCTTCCATACCTTTTTGTCCCTCCTCAAACCTTCCATGGCTCCTCCCACTCTCTCAACGGAAAATCTTATCTCACATTTTACAGGGGAGAAAAATGAGGCCACTCCCACTTTTCTTCCTCATTTAATATCACTCATATGCCTTTTGTCAATATCTCCTTTATCCCTGCCTCAAATGAAGATGTCGCCTTACTCTTTTTTTTTTTGGGCTAGGTAATGGGGTTAATTGACTTGCCCACAGTCACAGCTAGTGAGGCTTTTTTTGTTTTGTTTTGTTTTAATGTATCCGAGGCCGGATTTGAACTCAGGTCCTCCTGACTCCAGGGCCAGTGCTCTATCCACTGTGCCACCTAGCTGGCCCCAAGGCCTTACTCTTTACAAAGAGTAACTAACTCCTCTATTTGCAATCCCATTCCATCCCATCTCCAATAGGTTGCTTCCTCTGTTACCACCATTCTCACTTATTGTCAATCTCTCCCTGTCTACTGGCTCCTCTACTACCCATAAATATGCCCATGTCTTCCCCAGCCTCAAAAAATAAAAATAAACCTTTCACTTAATCCATTCATACTTGATAGATATCATCCTGTATCTCTTCTGGCCTTTGTGGCTAAACTCCTTGAGAAGACCATCTGCAAGGAAAATTAATTTGGCAACAGTGAGTAAGAAGTGAGACAGGGAGACCAATTAGGAGGCAGTTGCAATAAACTGGATGAGAGGCAATAAGGGCTTGAAACAATGTGGTAGCTATGTGAATGGAGGGAAGGGGTCAGATGCAAGAGATGTATAGGTAGAAAAAAACCAAGATTTAGCAACTAATTTCATGCATGTTATGAAAAACAGTGAGAAGTTTAGGATAATGCTGATGTTATGTCCCTGGGAGAATGGAAGAATGGTGGCACCTTTGACAAATAAACAAGTTTAGAAAGAAAGATAACGAGTTCAATTTAATTAAGTTGAGTTTAAGATGTCTCTGGGGTATCCAGTATTTAATGTCTAATAGAATACTGGTGATATGGGACTGAAGCTCAGGGGGAAAATGGAGCTGAATATATAGATCTGGGAGTCATCTTTATAGAGATACAAAAGGTAAAAACATAGAAGCTGATGAGCATACCAAGAGAAAATGTAGAGGGAGAAGT